CACCTGTAACACACACACACACAGCTGTAACACACCTGTAACACACCTGTAACACACACACACACACACCTGTAACACACCTGTAACACACACAGCTATAACACACCTGTAACACACCTGTAAACACACAGCTATAACAACATGTACACACCTGTAACACACCCTGACACCTGTCTCAGGGGCTGTGCCTGACGCTGCTGTTGTTGGCGATCTTTAAGAAGGCTCTGCCGGCGCTGCCCATCTCCATCACCTTCGGCCTCGTCTTCTACTTCTCCACAGACTTCCTGGTTCAGCCTTTCATGGACAACCTGGCAGCTCACCAGTTCTACATCTGAAGCCCCGCCCCCTCACCTTCCTCCTCACCTTCCTCCTCCTCCTCCTCGTTATCCTGCAGGCTGCCGCCGTCTGATGAAGCAACACACAAAGACTACTTCCTGTCTTTAACAGTCAGTTTGGGGACGCATCAACCCAACCACAGGAAGTGATGTAATCAGACAGGAAGCTGGCGGCTGCAGGTTACCTGGTTGATTCTGCTCAGGTGTGTCACCTGCTGACTCATAGTGTAAAGGAAAGCTCCTGTAACTCATCGTAGAGTCTCTGTTTCTGGGGGACGAGTTGGATGTAACACTCGCTGTTTGTTAGCTCCTGAATCCACCGCGGCTGCGTGTGATTGGCCGACGCTCCTTCCTGTTTGTCCTTTCACTTCCTGTCTGGTTCAGTAAACACGTCTCGCTCCTGATTGGTTCACACGGTAAACACGTCTCGCTCCTGAATTGGTTCACACGGTAAACACGTGTCGCTCCCTGATATGGTTCACACGGTAAACACGTGTTTGTTCATCAGTTATCTTCGTTTACTTCTCGCTGTCATCGTCTTTAAATAGAGGTTAGCCTGTCAGCTAGTTAACGCCGTCTGCTTATCGTAGCAGAATAAAGAAATAAAACAAGATCGCGACACTGCGACAAACGTTAGCTACGCTGTGAAAATCAGGCTAACCTTGGAGCTACACTGAGCGACGAGCTAACGTATGAACGACGTACAAAGCTAACGAGCTTTAAGTTTCTGATTCAGGTTCTTAACTTTTCTACACTAAACCAGCTGATTTATATTTGTTGGTCCAGATTTTTATAATCAGATTTAAGCCCCGTCCTAAGCCCCGCCCCTTTTTGCTCTGTGCTCCAATGGTTGAGGAAGCCATAAAGTTGTTAGCTAATGTTAGCAAAATGCTGGCTAGGTAGCTAGCTGATCTACATGAATCATTAGTAAGCTCGTGTTTTGCTACAGAGCAAGAGGCTAACTAACTAGCTAGCACTTATTAAAAGGGGGCGGGGCTTAGGAAGGGTCAGTTCTCGTTTTATTGATAACAGATTTTGGAATAATCAATGCAGTAATTATTAAAATACTTTCACCTTCAATCACACAGAGCGGCTAACGCGGATGCTACGGCTAAATTAAAACGTAAACTGATATTTTATTTTTAGTTTAGTTTGTGAGTTTCTCCTGTAAAATGTGTCACCATCATTTTATTAAACACATTTTGAACAGCTCGTGTTGTCGCGTTGTTGTTTACACTCAGCTGATCATCATAAAACCGACACTCACTTCCTGTGTAGACAGGAAGTTCAAAGACAAAGTATCACAGCGCTTCCTTGTTGCCGATTGGACAAAATCAGACGTCGATGTTTTCATTGTAAAAACAACAGTTGAATGTTTTACAGTATTTGATCACAGAAACGTTTTAGTGTGGCGGACCGCGCCAACACGGAGTCATTACACTACGATTAGAGTTAATAAATTATTAATTCAGCTGGTTCAAACAGAAACAACATTTCTTAACACCGGATTACAGCAGAAACACTGATCAATAACCTCCCAATGAATCAATATCAGCCCACTGCTGACGCTGCATACAGCTACAATCATTAGTAGTTACACCTGATAGATAATGTTAGCTAGCTCATTAGCATACAGTTAGCTCGGTAGTTAGCCAACCGTTTCTAACATTAGCATGGAACGGAAGAAATATTGATGATTAGTCGATTAATTGATCTGCAGTTACTTTAATTATTATTTTGTGGTTTTGGTGTTTTTCTTTGTCGCGTGATGGTAAATTATCTTCGGTCTGACGGTTGAATACCTGTCGGGTTGTTTCTAACTATAACTGATATTTTATTGACAAATGATCATCAGATCAATTGATTTTGTTTCTGTTTGGATTTTACTCAAATAAATCTTGTTTATAAAACTGAAGATCTATTTGAACTTTTATTGACGTCAGTGGTTCCCCTGCTGGTGGTGTCGGGTACTGCAGCCAGGTTCCTTCACTTTGGGCCAGTGTGACAGGAATCAATAAATTGATTGATCAATGAGCAGCCGGGGTTGATGGGAAGCAGAATGATCCTTTCAGAATAAGAGCAGTCAGTTCCTGTTTCACAGCAACATTTTTATTGTGGATTAAAAAAACAGAAGAAGAACAAACAGAAACTAATTTCTCTCCTCGAACTGAGATTTGTTCTTCAGCAGGAACGCAGCCAGATACTCGATGGGGTTGGGAGGTCTGCAACAGAGACAGATTATTATTATTATTATTATTATTATATCATATATTATTATGAAATATAATATATGATAATAATAATATAATATATTGGTGTCACCTGTCCTTGGCGAGCACAGACAGACCCTGCAGCAGGATGGGGACTACAGTCTGGTCCAGGTAAGCTCTGGTTGGTAGAGCCTGAAGGTCCACCTTCTGCTTCGACATCTTCTCTGCACTCGTCTTCTCACTGTCCACTGTCCTCTGAGGAGCAAAGCATGCTGGGAGTTCTCTCTGGACACTGTGTGTGTGTGTGTGTGTGTGTGTGTGTTACAGTGTGTGTGTGTTACCGTTACAGTGTGTTCAGCAGTGTGTCCGCTGTGTTACAGTGTGTTGTCGTTAAAAGTGTGTGTGTCGTCCTCTCGCGGCCGTGTGTGTGTGTGTTAAGCAGTGTGGTGTGTGTTACAGTGTGGTGTGTGTGTGTTGTTTACCAGTGTGGTGTCGTGTGTGTGTGTTCATGTGTTACAGTGTCGTGTGTTTACAGTGTGTTACAGTGTGTGTGTGTGTTACAGTGTGTGTGTGTTAGCAGTGTGTTACAGTGTGTGTTACAGTGTTGTGTTACAGTTTGTGTTACAGTGTGTGTGTGTTACAAGTGTGGTTAACAGTGTGTGTTACGAGTGTGTGGTTAGCAGTGTTGTGTGTGTTTAGCAGTGTGTTCACAGTGTGCTGTGTGTTTACCGTGTGTTACCAGTGGTGTGTGTGTTACCAGTGTGTTTACACAGCGCTGTGGTGTTACAAGTGTGTGTGTGTGTTACCAGTGTGTGTGTTACAGTGTCGTGTGTGGTGTTTACGCAGTTGTGTGTGTTACAGTGTGTGTGTTTACAGAGTGTGTGTGTTACGTGTGTGTCGTTACTGTGGTGTGTTACTGTGTGCTTGTGTAAGTGTGTGTGTTACAAGTGTGTTACTGTGTGTGTGTGTGTGTTACAGTGTGTGTGTGTGTGGTGTAGTGTTACAGTGTGTTACAGTGTGATGGTGTGTTCAGCAGTGTGTACAGTGTGTCTACAGTCGTGTGTGTTAGCAGTGTGTACAGTGTGTGTGTGTTACAGTGTGGTGTGTGTTACAGTGTGGTACCCAGTGTGTTGACAGTGTGTGGTACAGTGTGTACAGTGCTGTTTACAGTGTGTTACCAGTGTGTGTGTTACAGTGTGTTCAGTGTGTGTACAGTGTGTTACAGTGTGTGTGTTACAGCTGTGTACAGTGTGTTACAGTGTGTGTGTTACCAGTGTGTTACAGTGTGTGTGTGTTACAGTGTGTTAACAGTGTGTGTGTGTTACAGTGTGTACAAGTGTCGTTACAAGGTGTGTGTTACGAGTGTGTACAGTGGTTACCAGTGTGTAACGTTACAGTGTGTACGTTACAGTGGTGTAGAGTGCTGTACAGTTGTGTT